CTCGAAGAGGTCCAACTCGGCACAGCAGGCGCCGACTTTGCCCAGGTTGGTGGAGGCATCCCAGCCTGCGCTCTCCTCTTGCTCTTGCACGGAGAGAGGGAGAAAGGCCTGGCGGGCTTGGGTGGGGTCCTGGACGAAGGAAGGGGTCGCTCACGTCTCCGATGTGCGCGTAGGTTTTCGGGGAGTCTTGCCACAACATCTTGACGAAAGACTGCATCATTCGCGATGGCCGAAGGGTCCCGCGGTGCAGATGAGGAGGGAGAGATGAAATGTAGATATCGTGCGACGTCGACTGACCACCTCACCGATCCTGGCCAGTCCGATCCTGGGCACAGGAGGGACCGCTTCAGGATCGGTAAGGTGGTCGGTTGACGTCGCCCGATGCAGACGCGAAAAAGACTGCACGAGAGGCACCTGCAAAGATTGCAGAGGGGGGCCCGAGAGGCTGGCGTCACGTCTGTCACGTGCCACTCTCGAACTCTGATCCACGGCCGGGCTACACTCCCTGGACCGCACAGCTCTCTAAGAAATGACGTGGCAGCAGGTAAGGGGCCACGAGCGAGCGAGGGAAGAGCCGAGGGACTAGCCGCAGCTCGAAGCATGAAGGGCCCGCGCGGACCGAAAGAGGGGGCTGAAACCTCATCCTGACCCTCCTCGACCTCGTCCTCCTGCTCCTCCTCGTTCTCCTCCTCGGCCCCCATTCGTCGCCGCAGCCTCAGGTCTACAAACCGACTCCTGCCAGGACCCTCCCCCACCCATGTCAGGAACGCGCATGGCCGCCCGCGTGGGTGCGCGAGGCCTGCGCCGACCTGTCGTCAGGGAGTTGAGCGTCCAGCTAGTGTGAACCACAGGCTTTGGCGAAAACCCAACTACCTCGTTACATGAGAAGCCTCTCATCCGAAAAAATGCGCACCTTGCCGTTCCGTAGGGTGTGTGTCTTTGGGGGGGGGCGGCTCTCTGACTTCTGGCTGTGCGAGCCTGTCCTCGGATTCCCAGGCCTGGGGGGGAATCCTGTCGGCAGAACTTTGGTCACCTAATCTCGCGGCGAGCAGGGCTGCCCGACGCTCTGCCCCCTCGAACAGATGTGTTTCTGAACCTTCCTTCGTCAGGTGTTGATGGACTTGCTTTCCACCACCACCATATAAGTTGGAGGGGGAGGGGGTCCTCCTCCTCCTCCTCCTCCTCCTCCTCCTCCTCCTCCTCCTCCTCCTCCTCCTCCTCCTCCTCCTCCTCCTTCCTCCCATCCAACTTATGGTCGTTGTGGTGGAAAACAGGCCCATCAGGCTTCCCTGCCAGGACTGTTGGAGGCCTCCACTCGTAGGACAAGGGGGGCATCGGCTCTGCATCGGCATCAGTAGTCCGAAGGGCGGGCGGGCCAATTCTGCCCCCCACCCCCCCTGCCGGAATTCTGAATTCGGTTTTCTGGCGAAAACCCCCCTTACCCGAGCTGATAGAACAGCTCAGGTGACCGGAAAACATTTCCCCGTTTTCCCGGGTCGGCTTTATAGAGGTCTGGACGGGCCGTGGCTTTTACGGGCTGGACGGAACCAATACATTACGGCGTCAGTTGCCAACGCAGGGGGGCGAGGCCCTCCCTACGGCCCCTCGGGAAACCAAGACGGCAGCAGGGAGGGGTGCCAACGCACCTCCACAACACAGACCTCAATACCGTAAGGCGCCGATTGCCACCATCCAGCGTTTCCCTCCTCCTCCTCCTCCACGCCGCCGTGGGTGGTGGCTGCGGCAATGTCAGCCATCGTGGGTGCTCCCGCGCACGCCTGCCCCTTTGCAAAGCTGTTGCCTCAAGGACGTTGCCCGGCGGCAAGGCCAGCGGTCCTGCACACTGTCACGTTTAACCGATAACCAAGGCTGTCTCTGTTTGGACACAGGCTGGCGGCAGGGCCTGACTCCGTGCGTCCACAATCACGCACGCTCACCCCAATTGCGAGGCAGTCTGCCTCAAGGCTTAGGACACAGCCCGGCCAAAAGGCTGGCGGTCCTGCATATTCTCACGTTCAGCCGCTACCAGAGTTCGTCCCTATTTGGACGCAAGCTAGCGGCAATGCCAGATTCCGTGCGTCCACAGATTCAGCACGCCCACCCCCGTCGCGAAGCTGGTGCCTCACGGTCCTGCCTCACGGTCCTGCACACCCTCACGTAGAGGACTCTCGTCGACCTCGGCCTTGAAGCCGTTAAAACAGCAGAAAACATAATTCCACCGACCAAATCCGAAGACACCATTAAATCGACACGTCAGAGGTTCTGGCCACCAGGACACAGCATGGCAGCAATGCCAGCGGTCCTGCACGCTTACACTTCCTTGCGTGCCATGTGTCTCCAAGACACGGCCCGACGACACAATGTTGGAGAGAGCGTGATCCACCGCCGCTTTACTGTGGAGAATTGCCAACTTTTTCCTCTGGAGCCCGGGGGTCGCCCCCCCCCCACCCCTCCGAAAATCCCCCCCCTCCTCTGCTGGAACACCCTCCCCCCCCCCCCTCTCCCCCCGCAAAACCTCCCCCCGCCCCTAACCCTCCCCCCCCCCCCCTCCCGCTCGAAAACCGGGAGGGCAACGATGTTGAAACATATCTAATGACCCTGACGGCGCACACATTGAGCGCGTCTCTATTGAGACTTGTTGTCCCTGGTTCGACCCCTCCCCCCCCCCCACCCCCCTCGGATCTCGTAAACCGGGGGGGGGGGTTCACTAACCGTTGCGAACCCCCCTCCCCCCACCTACTCACCGCCAGCCACGCACTCCCGGTCCCCAGCCGCCCCCCAAAATAAAAAAAAAAAAAGCAAGAGAAAAGAAAAAAAAGAACACAAAAAAAAAACCCCGCCACCGTTCCGCATCACATCCCACTGGTGTTCCCAGGCACACTGTCCCTCTACCACCACTGTCACCCACTGGTATCTCACCCTACGCCCCTACTGTCCCCACCAGTGCCCCACCACTGTCGCACTGTCCCCGCTGTCCCCAGAACTGTTCCCACCACGGTTCCACTCTCCCCACTGTCTCCACGGCCCCAGCCACTGCCCGACTATCCCCACTGTCCCAATGACTCCTCCGCTGTCCCACTGAGCTGTCCCACTGTTCCCACCACTGTCCCCACTGTCCCCGCCACTGTCCCCACTGTACCTTTGTCCCATTGTCCCACCGCCGTCCTCGCCACCGCCTTCACCACTGTCCCCACCACCATTGTACCCTCCACTGTCCCACTGTTTCCACCTCATTCCCATTGTCCCCACACCACTGTCCCCACCACCACCGTCACCACCACTGTCCACTGTCCCCCCCTGTTCCCACCATTGTCCCCACCACTGTCCCCACCACTACCGCCCCCACCACTGTCCCACTGTCCCACTGTCCCCACCACTGTCCCGCTGTCCCCTCACCACTGTCCCCACCAACACCGTCCCCACCACTGTCCGCACCCCCACTCGGTTTTCGAGGGAGGGGGGGGGGGGGGTTCGAACCGGTAGTGACCCCCCGCGGTTTTCGAAGGGGGGGAGGGGGTTCGAACAGGTAGTGACCCCCCCCCCTTTTCATGATGAACTGGGAAGGGGGGGGGGGGAGGGGTTCGAACCGGTAGTGACCCCCCCCGGTTTTCCGGAGGGGGGGGGGGGAGGGGTTCGAACCGGTAGTGACCCCCCCCGGTTTTCTGCCAGCAGCGGTAGATCACGCTCTTTCCAATGTTGGCAGCGTTGTTCGCAGTCTGACACGTCGGAACCTCCAGGACACAGCCAGGCGGCAATGCCAGCGGTCCTGCACAAACTCTCGCACGAAGCATGCGCGCATAGGCCGGCGACAAGTCCAGGGGTGCTGTTTCCACTGGACACGTCGGCGACTCGACCTCCAGGACACTGACTGGCAGGCCTGCACGGCTGGACGGAGGTATTGACCTCCAGGACACAGCCCACTGTCCTGCACACATTCCCCCCTACGAGGCAAGTCAGGGCACAGCCTGGCAACGACCTTGGAACTTCTGCCCTGCAGGACACAGCCGAGTTGGAACTTCTGTCCCGCAGGACACAGCCGAGCGGCAATAACGGCGGTCCTGCACACCTTTCCAGGCTTGGCTGGCCGTTGGTGCCCGTGGGCCCCAAGCGGCCTTCGAAGGTTACCGGTCGCACCCGACCGCCAGCGTGGCCCCGAGCAGGAGTTCACTGCACTGGGGGGGACTCAATGTGGACCTGGACATTGTCTGAACATTAGCGCCTAGGGGAGCGGAATGTTCAGAAATTGTCCAAGCCCACTTGTGGCCAGTCTCGCGCGCTGCAGCTGGGGCGAGGCAGCGGGGTGTAAGGCGTTGCACTTCGGAAATGCGGGTCGGACATCTATACACCATTCCAGAGAGAGGGGGCATGTCATTCCACAGCACGTCTGAAGTAACGTCAAGAACGGGGGCATGTCATTTCACGCCCCACACCCCCCGCCAAACCTAAACTGTCGAACAGAAGTGGGTGTCTCGGGGTACGCTCGCTGGCCACGCATACCATCCACAAACAACAGGGGCCAACAACAGTCCCTACACGGGCACATTCACATGGCTATGCCTACCTTAAGCGCGTTAGCACTTTTCCTCCTCCGCGTCCTCCTCCTCCTTTTCCGCCTCCTCCTCCTCCTCCTCATCCGCCTGTTCCTCCTCCTTCTTCGTGCCTCCTGTCCCCCCCCTTGTTTCTGCTCCTCCTCTCGTTCATATTCCGATTCCTCCTCCACCCTCCCCGTTTTGGGTACGCCGTCTTACACAGCCCAGAATTCCACTGCACAATATTCCGCATCCCTGATCGGGGGGGCGACTCGTCTGGGCATCGCTTCTGGATGGGCTGACTTGGCTACGCGAATCGTCTGGAATCCCACCAGCCCTCTGGGCTTAGGTGGTATAACGGTTTGTTCTTCTTTCTTCCACTGAAACCCTTCCCCCATACCCCCTCCCCTGGGCCTGGACGGGGCGCGCCGCGAGGCGTTAGAGCGTCCAAAATGGCCCAAGATCGCTCCAAGATGCGTTCAAAGTCGCAAGGTGGCCTCCAAGATGGCCCATGTTACTTCAAGATGGGTCAAGGTAGCCTCCGACCTACCCCCAAGAGGCCCCCAAAACAGCCCCAAT